TCAAAATAAAATGCTATTTAAAAACATTGTTTGCATGTCAATAAATCTATATTTCATGTTGAACAAACTAATTAAGTTTATCTGTAAAAACAAGTTCTTTATTACATTTTGTTTTTTACTTTATTTCACATATATATCAATATGAAGATAAATATATGTGAAAATTTGGCACGTCGTTCAGTTGAAAACCATCTTTTAACATATCGTCATAATAGACGTGAAGATGAAATGCTTGAAGAGAAATTTTCACTTTATCAACGACATATTCGTCTTGTTGATCATCATATACATATGGCTGAACGTCGTTTTGAACAACATGCAAAAAATGATCTTGGTTTAGTTATATCATATAAACGTAAACCATTAGAACCACCAAAAAATCGTCCATTCTACTATGCATCAACAAATAGAAATTGGACAACTAAAGAATATTCTGTTAAATCATTACATAATGTTCTTGAACATAAAAATTTATATGAATACGCATTTGAACGTCGTTCTCAAAAATATTATGAAGAATTAAAAGAAAAAAATTATGAACAAAAATTACGAAAAGAACTTTTTATGAAAAGAACAAAATCATTTCTACGCGATGATTTAGAAAGAAGTAATGATTGGCCTACAATAGATCATGCTCGATGTAATTTACGATCAAATCATCATTCAGAAAAGACTCATTTACCAAAAATACGTTTTACTACTGAAGTATATAAAAATAAAGTTTTTTAAATATTTTGATCTTTATTTTTAATACTGTATCCCAAATATACAAAAAAAAAGAAAGGAATCACATACAAGAACTTATTTGGCAATACACAAAAAGTAACTTTTCTTTTCCAGATTGATAATAAAGAAAAATATTTTATTCTTGATCTGCTTCGAGTTTACCAATATCTTCAATAGTAATTTCTTGAATGTTACGAGAGAAATACTTCTCAATGGCTCTTAGAATGCCATGTTCTTTTTCTGAGCCAATCAAATTAAATGTATAACCTATAAAACAAAGAAAAGTTCAATATTTTACTATCAGAAGAAAGATATATAGACACATACCTATTTTACCGAATCGACCACAGCGGCCAATTCGATGAAGATATGTTTCATAGTCTGGATCACCAGTGACGGTCGTAGGTACATCATAATTAATAACTAATGAAACATCTTCAATATCAATACCTGGAAAAAAAATATATATTAAAGAACGTATAAGATTAGCATAGAATCAAGATTATGAGGACTTAAGCATAAGGTATGCTAAAACTGTTAGTCTCTGTTAAGAAAAATACTTTGTCTTTCTTATTAAAAATTTCGAAATGCTTAAGTTTTGATATCCAATATCTTACAAGAACTATAAAGTAAAAAAGTATTGGAAAAGAATTTATCGAAAATAAATGATAGAGAATATTTCAATAAAATTGTTGAGTTACTGCGAGTTCTAAACGTGTCCTTTCTTCTTTAGAATATTTATCGACACAATGTATTAATAAAATTAATAAAAAAAAGAAGAGAACATATTTTCATGAAATACCTATTATTAAGATATCTGTATCTAAATATACGGAATTCTTAGTAAGAGAATAGAGATGATTCATGAATTTTAGATATTCTAATTTCGGTTTAATTTAACTTACCACGAGCAGTCACATTTGTTGATACTAATACACGAAATTGGCCTTCACGAAATTTTTGAACTATAGCTGCACGTTGTTCCATAGTCAAATCTCCTGTTAATAATCCCACTGAATGATTTTGATTTGACATTTGAGTTGCTAATTCATCTGCTGTTCTTTTTTTTCGGCAAAAAATCATTGCTTGTCCAACAGTTAATTCAGTATAAATTTGTTCAATAGCTTGATATTTTTGTTGTAAATCATAGCAACATATATAATATTGATATATATTATTCAATGTTTGTTTTTCACGTTTTAATCTTAACACAACTGGTGCTGGAACAATTTCACGTGCAAAATTCATTACTTCATCTGAATACGTTGCCGAAAATAACATCAATTGACAATGGGAAATATTAAGATTTTTAACAAGATTACTACAATTGTCTTGAAAACCTTGAGTTGCTATCATAACATCAGCTTCATCAACAACAAACACATTTAATTGTTGTAAATCAATAACTTTTATTCTTTTACACCAATCTTCGACTGTTCCAGGTGTACCAACAACAATTGGTTCGCGTAAAAGTTGACCACGGACACGTTCAGCTCTTTTTGATATTGCTTGATCACGTACAGCATATGCAATTTGAATATATGGTAAGAATTTAGCTATGTTCTCTATAACTGAACCGATTTGTAAAGCTAATTCAAATGTTGGTGCAAGAATAAGAGCTTGTGGTGATTTTATAGATGGATCAATACGTGATATAGTTGCAATGGAAAAAGCAGCTGTTTTGCCTGTACCAGATTGGGACTGTGCTATAATATTTTCTAAAAAAAACAAATAAAATTGTTGAGATAATCAACTTTTTTAAGCAAATTTCACAAACTTGGTGGATCGTTCAGTAAATGAGGTAAAGTAATTTCTTGAATTTTACTTGGAGCACGAAAATTCATACTGTAAATACCTAGAAAAGAATACAATATAAATTACTGAATTTTACAATAATTTTTATTCAAAATCGAATAATTTAGATGTTTCAGATGCAGTATATGAATAGAAATCTTGCTTGTAAAATTACCTTTTAATAAATCAGGATTAAGATTAAGTTGTTCAAAAGTTTTAGTCGAATATAATGGCGATAATGGATCACTTCGATCAATAACAACGTTAGTTGGATCTCGTAATGTTTTATTAACCATTTTTGAGATTAACGAACATTCAGCTAATGAAGCAGGAGTATCATTTTCTTCTTGTTCTTGATTCGATAAACTTGGTTGTTGAGCAATAGGTGTTGTAGGACTTGATGAAGTTTTTGGACCACTCGACATATTATTCGGTATTGTTTCATGTGTTGATGATACTGGTTTTGGATTATTGGTTGGTAATGAAAATTGTTGATTATTATTGGGTGCATCTTGTTTTTGTGTTGATGGTGTAAATGTATATGAGGATAATGGTTGTTGAATTTCTGAATTATTTTTGGATTGATTAAAGTTAGGAGCTGAAGGATTTGTGGATAATGTATTATTAAAAGAAAAGTCTGGAGGGTTTCCTGATAGAGCACTGTTAAAAGAAAATCGTGGTCCATCTCCTGATACAGCATTGTTAAACGAAAATCGTGGAGCATCTCCTGATACAGCACTATTAAAAGAAAATCGTGGAGCATCTCCTGATGGTTGAGTGGGAAAAGACATATTTGAACCATTTGTTGCTGCTGCTGCATTGTTAAATGAAAATGATGTTGTCGAACCAGATGGCTGTGTTGATGCGAACGATGCACCAATTGGAGATCCTGTATTAGCCTAATGATTAAATGAAAAGCAATTTTATTACAAAGGCAGGTAATTAATTTTAGGGGAAAACATACTGTTGATGATCCCCCTGATAATCTTTGTGGAAAAGTAGCAACTGATGCTTGTTGTTGATTTGAAGTTGAACTATTTGGTTCTGTAGCCTTTGCAAGTGAAGCTAATGCTGATCCTGGTTTCGAACCAGTAAAAGAAAATTGACCAGCTTGTGAAGATGGTGAAGTTGAATTATTATTTGTCGTTGTTGATGCCATAGTTTCTGACTAAATAAGAAAAATATGTTCTTTTTTCAAATATCTCTCATAAAAAATCTGTTCTTTTATGTTTTCTAAACACACAGACACACACACATATATATCACATTTCACAGGGAAGACACAAAAAAAACGTCAAAACAAATCTATCACAAAAATGTATATCTATATCTTATAAAGGTCGTCATCAACTATATGTTTTTCTGAAAATTCCATAATCGGTTTTTGAAAATAATTTTCAATTTGTTCAAGTAATGGCATTTCCGACGGAGTTATTAAATTAAATCTAAATAAAAAAGAAAATTATTATATTAAATTTCATCCTCAAACAAACATACGTATGTCCAATACGACCAAAACGCCCTGCACGACCAATTCGATGTAAATATGTATCATAATCAGGTTTATCAGCAAAACAACGTTTTGTTTCATCATAAATAAGTGGAAATTCAAAATTAAGTACTAATGATATATCATCAATATCAATTCCACGTGCACAAACATTTGTAACAACTAAAACACGAAATTTTCCATCACGAAAACGATTTATAACAGCAGCACGTTGTTCAACAGATAATTCCGATGAAAGTAATTCAACACAATGTTTATCATTAATCATTCGTAATGCAAGTGCATGAGCTGTATGTTTATATCGACAAAAAATCATTGCTTGACCAATAGTTATTGATGAATAAATAGTTTTAACAGCTTCATATTTTTCTTCATCATTATTACATTTAATATAAAATTGACGAATATTAGATAATGATTGTTCTTCTCGTTTTAATCGAAAAATCACTAGAAAAATAAAGAAGATATAATACTGACTGTATCTAGAAATCTTTATTCACAATCGAATCGATCTATTTAGAGCTGCAAGAGATTTTCTATCGATATGTGTTGATCTTACCTGGATTTTCAATGATTCGTTTAGCAAAATCCATAACCTAAGGAAACAAAAAATATTAATCTTTTCTTGAAACAAAAATTTCTTTCAAACCTCATCGGAATATGTTGCTGAAAAAAGCATTGTTTGACAATCTTTTCCCATAGCACTTTTAAGATTAAAACAAATTTGTGAAAAACCCGGTAAACTAATCATAACATCAGCTTCATCAACAACGAACATACGTAATTTTTTTAAATCAATTATTTTCATTTTTCGACACCAATCTTCAACTGTTCCAGGTGTTCCAATAACAATTGGAACATTTAATTCTTTTCCTTTCGTATATTCATTACGTTTTGATATTGTCGGATCACGTACAGCATATGCAATTTTAATATGTGGTAAAAATTTTGCCATATTTTCAATAACTTTTCCGATTTGTAAAGCAAGTTCAAATGTTGGTGATAAAATAAGTGCTTGAACATAATCTAAATTTGGATCCATACGACTAAGTGTTGCTAAGGAAAATGCTGCCTAAAGATTTCATTCGATTTATTGAAAAGAAAAATTCGTATTTACTGTTTTTCCAGTTCCATTTTGTGATTGTGCAATCATATTTCGTGGTGGATAAGCAAGTAATTGTGGTAATGCACGTTCTTGAATACGAGATGGACGACGAAAACCCATATAATAAATCCCATTTAATAATTGAGGTTCTAATTTTAATTCTTCAAATGTTTTCACGGAATGTAATGGCGATTGAGGACTGGATCCATCATCTTCGTGTATTAATGAATAATTTATATCACGTAAATTGGAATGTTTATTTAATAATGATAATTGATCGATAGTCATTACTATTTCTGGTCGATCTTCATATAACATTTCGTTAAAAGTCTTATTAAGTAATGATGATTTATGATTAAAATTTATGTTATTTGTGCAATTTTTAAGTGTTTCATTTAATCGACCGAAATCGAATGTTGGAAAAAATTGAGAACTCTGATGACAAAAAAAAAACTCGCCACTCTCTCTTTCTCTCAATAGACTTGACCTGAAAATCTAAGTAAAAAAGAATCTAATAACATACGTTCGATTGTTGTTGGCTATTTGATGTTGGTGGAGCAATACCAGAAACATTTTTAAATCCTCGAAACATACTAGCTTTATCAGAATTAGCCATAGGTTTTCTTTTCGTATATAAATACACTAAAATTCTAAAAAGAAACTACATTTTAATTGTTATATTCAATACAAATGCTTCTCAAATATGCCAATATGTCATAATATAGACGTAAGTACATATTTTACTTTCACTTTAAACCAAATTTTCTCCGATACTATCACTACTTTTCATTGGCTTATTCAAAACCTAATCGTAATGTATATATTTATGTAGGTGTCGCCTTTTTTATATTAATGGTTGTTGTTTATATATGCCACGCTCACAATGCGTGCTATGTTACATTGAATTTGAACTTTATATTATTTAGGATATTACTTCGTTCTGTGATTCTTCCTTATTCTATTTTAAGAACAACATGTAAGATGACTTGCAAAAATTTTTAGTAGAGTATAGACTATGAGATTTATTTCTTACGAACAAAATTAATAAACATGTTTGGTACGAAATTGCGCCGATTGCCATTGTCATTCAGTCCAGTTATTCGTCAACAAACAAATATTGCAAGTGATTTTAAAAATCATAATCAAGATGAACAAACGAAAAAAATAACGAATGAAAATGGGAATGGAAATGGAACTAATCGATGTATACCACCAACTGAAAAGACAATTCGTGATAAACATTTAGCTAATATAACGGTTACTTCCTTTTATTCTCAAACAGCTGTTGAAGAACTTGCAAGAAAGGTACAATAGGTTCTATTTATATTCTATATAACTATCATTTATTTTTTCTAGCAATCAACTCGACTTACACCATTGACAATGATGTATATTGGAAAAACTAAAGACAGTAGCCATCTTTTAGTAAGTTTGAATATAATTTGAAAATATTAATATATATCTATTGGTTTTTATTTATGTTATTTTAGCGATCAGCTCAATATCTTCATAAGGATTTACCTATTCGTTTTGCACATCGAATTGATGATTTTCGAAATTTACCATTTATCGTTGCTTGCAATCCGCTTTTATTAGAATTGGTATGAATAAAATGATTATTTTTACATTATAAATAATTGTTTAATTTTTAGCATGAACGATTTATTAAAATCTTTCATACATTAAATTCATTTCCATCAGTAAGATTTTCGATTATCAAAATTTTCCTAAATTTATTCTTAATAGATTAAAACACTTGAACAAGAAAAGGCTTATACTGAATTACTTCAAAATACGCTTACTTGTAGTTCCGATACATTACCTTTATTAGCAGAAGGTTTTCGTGAATCAAAACGACATATCAAAGTAAACAACACATCATTTTTATATTAAATAAAACTTTTCAATAATTTCTAGCAAGAAACATTTGTACGTAATTTTCTTGATCGTGCTCTAACTTCTCGATTGGCTATTAAAATGTTAATTGAACATCATATTGAATTACGAAATGATAGAGTATGAAAAAAAAGCTTTTTCTTTAAAATTATTTTATAATTTTTATTTTAAATAGGAAAATTATATTGGTGCTATTTGTATGAGTTTTTCACCGAAAAAACTTATTCAATCATCTGCTGAATATGTCAAGTAAATTTATTCGATAAACTATTATTCATAATAACATTTTTATTTTTAGAAAAGTATGCCGTGCTGAATATGGTGTTGCACCGGATGTTAAAATCGATGGTCATGTGCATAGCTCATTTCCATATATAACAACACCACTCAATTATATCATACCAGAAATGTTGAAAAATGCATTTAGGTTAGTTCAAATTTTATATTAGAATAAAATATAAAGGAGTCTTTCGGAATACGAAGAAAAAGAAATTAAGAATATTTTTCTCTAGATTATGATTGATAAAATCTGCTGATGACGAGTAAGTAAATTTTTTCAGTATATTATGAAGAAAATAATATAAGCTTTCTATTGCATCCTTGATTTATCTGCATAAAAAAAATATCATATCTTCTATCAATGATTAATTAGTATAGTTTATAACTGGGGATATAAACAAAGCTCTATGCTAGTTTATGATTGTAATTTACCAAAAAAAATCAAATTTTATTTGATTTATGATAAAATAATCCGTTGATCGTAATATTGCTACTTTTACATAGAATCATTGAGGATCAAGTATTTAGTTTAATACAGCTAAAAGAATCTAGCTTTATTGATTTGAATGCATTTGTTGCTTCTTTTTTTAGAGCTACGGTTGAACATCATAGATATTCTGATCTCGGTTTACCAAGTGTTACTGTTACAATTGCTGTTAATGAGGATGAACTTGTTCTACGGTATGAATTTTCTAAAGAATGAATATTTTAATAATAGATTTCTGTTCTTTTTAGAATAAAAGATCGTGGAGGTGGTATGCCACGAGCATTACTTGATAAAATATTTGATTATCATTTTTCATCAAATCATTTATCACATGATCCTTCTTTACTTTCATATACTGATTTTGATAATCATTTTCATGATCAACTTGTTACAACAGATAATACAAATCGAATGAGCGGGTTTGTATTAAGAATTAGTTTAATATGAAAATAAATTATTATATTATCGTATCATTTTAGATACGGTTTTGGTGTGCCAACATCCCGTGCCTATTGTGAATATTTAAATGGTTCATTAACAATTGAAACAATGCATGGTCTTGGTAGTGATGTTTATGTACGTGTTGGATTATTAACATCAGAAAATCGTGTTGTACGTTTGTAAAAAAAAATATATAGATACTGTTTCGTTTTTGCTTTTTTTTCCTTTCTCTCTCGTTTTTTGTTTTACTCGGGGTAGAGCAGATACTGATATTGACGTGAGAAGAACTCGCTATGTGTATAATTCTATGTGTGTATGTGTGCTTTACTTTTTTTCTCTCTCCTTTATTTACCTATGTTCGTATATTTAACTCAGAAATGCATGCATGCAGAAGATGCTATATGAATCTCTTTTCTTTTTACTTTCATTTATTATGGCTTCCTTTATTTCCTCATTTATGTTATGAACGATGTCATACTATTGTATATAAATTCAAATCGAAGTCAAAACACAACAATATCTACACAAGCATTTTGTATTTGTATTTATCATCGTTTTTGTTTTTCTTATTTGTGTTTAAGTATCCAGTGCTTTGTTTTTCTCTTTCGAATTTATATTTGCACAAGAAAAAATAAAAGCAATAGACATGATCTAATGAGAAAAAAAGAATTTTATTAATATTGAGTGTAGCACCATTTATCATTATGATAACAAATAAGGAATTCATTATGGTTAATAACCAACATTAATTTTTTAGAATGATTATGTTTATATTAGTAATGCTTTTATAAAATGCTAAATCTTTTACTATGACATGTATTTATTGTGATTTAAACTTATAAAATGCTTTGAATATTACAATACTTTCTAGGTCGTAATTTTCTCATTTAAAACTATCAATGTCTAATCGCGAATTTCTTCAGAGAAATAATTCTTCTATCTGCTAAAAATAAAACAAAAATTTAAAATGATTGTAGAATACCTTGAAGACATAAACCGAAGGGAGCTATACAATATGGAGTGTGCATTACTTACACAAACAAATAGTTTGCTGATAGATTATTTAAGAACTATACGGACAAAAAAGTCAGTTTTTTTACTGACTGATCACAAAATTTTAAAACTAGGCATATTTCATTGAAACTTAATTCTAATCTTCTACCGATACAGGCATGCACTTTTATTTCTTAGACCCAATATAATTGTATTAGAATAGCAAAAAAGTTTAAAAAATCGTATCTGATATTTCGAAATATAGAAAGATCCATATTTTTGTTTTATTTTGTGGAACTCATATATAAAAATGTGAATGTAAGTTATAAGTTGACGTTTTACAACTCTCCTCTCGTCTCATAGAAGAAAAAGTTGAAGTTTCTGAGATTTTCAGATTTATTATGCATATATGTCAAAACGTCAAAAAACGCTCGACTTTTTATCCGTTGAATTTTACTCAAAATTCTCAAATCATTCAAAACTATCAAGACACTCAACAATCTTAGTTTTCAACTGTTTCCGCCTTACTCCCACCTCACAGTCAGACTGCCATTACAGACAGCTATTTTTGAGTAAAAACATCTCAGTTTATATATCAAAAAATATTTCGCTATCTTCTTCTGACTGTGAAAACCATAAAAACTGGGGTTAAAGCTCAACGATAGGTCAAATGAAGAATAAAAGTTTTTTTATAACAATTGAATTGTCATATTTATTATTGAAAATCACATCTGACAAATTATATAAACGCTAGATATAACACATTGCTCAATAAATTTATTTCAATGAATACAACGACATAAGCATAGTCTACTCGTTACTCTGAATTTAGACACTAATCATGTTATTGTTCTTTACATCAGTGTAATTATTTTTATTAATACAAAGCCTTATTAGGTATTGCAGAAACCATACACAATCTTTCGACTGTTGACATTAGTTTTGTATTCATTTTTTTTGCATATACTCTGTGTTATTTATAATTAGTTCTTGAATTAGTAATTACTTTTAAATATCATCTATAAATAAAAATGTAAAAGTCATCAGCCAGTCTTATTGTAGAGACGTTATGCAGATACAAAATAAGTCAAGAAAATCTGTCGTGCAAAACATAAATTATTGATCATTGAAAATAACATATAAATTATATCATTAATTGGTAAACAATGTTGACGTCATTATAATCAAAACCATTGTTGTCTTATTCCAAATGCATATACATAAACAATAAGTACAAATTGTATCTTCTTTTAAAATCGAAATATATCATTTTGAAGGTCTTCGTAGAGAAAGGTCGCTTTCTAAACTAACTGTGTCTTAGATTAAACATAAGACGAAATCAATTCATGCAACATATGGTCTGTCATACGCCTACTTTGATAATGTATTACCATTAACTGATTAACTCTATACATATCATCTGATAAACTTTCTTTCTATTTCTTTTTTAAATATAATTCTGCGTAATTAACTGTATTTATTATCACAACAACTAGAAAATCATAGATTTGCATGTTTGTTTTTTATTAAAATGTTAAAAGTAACGATCAATTGAGATTATCGAGTATTCATCTTATCTAAATAATAGATTTCATTATTATCTCTTTTTTCTTAATTAACTGGCAATAAATTTTTAAATAAGTGCTATATAAAATTAATTAGTTATTTCCATGGGAAATCAATTCATGTTACACCTACATACAATCTTGCCGCTGTCATTTATTATTACCATTGACAAGCCTACATTTAGCTTCACTTATTAATTCCATTGGCAATATCGATCTTTTTTGATGGGCCTATTTCCTTGTTTCAAGGAATATTTGTAGGCGGAGAAATGTTCTGCTATATTAATCTCAACTGTTATACAGTTAACTGAAAGCTACAATTGACATATATAGATATACATACATATAAATACGTAGTTTGTTATGTGAACTTAACAGATAATGTGTCAATCATATTTAGTTGTTTGTTTCTTTTATATTGTATAATTAGAAAGAAAAATTATGAATAAGTATAACATAACAAACATTCGTTTTTTTTTCTTCTTTGCTGATAAATCTCTCGTTTTTTTTTCTCCATCCCACACTCAACATATATGTTTACATGAAAATTCTATTATACAAACATCTAAACCATAGACATATATATATATCTAACACATTTTCATAGTCTATGAATCAATCTAACAAAAACACTAGAACGGTAAGTGCATTAAAAAAACATAGATTAATGTTTCAATACTTTATTTATACGTTTTTCTAATTTTTGACGTTGACTTATTTCTATAGAAATAAATAGAAATAATAAAAAGGAAGTTCTTTTTCCCCCAAAACATACCGAATACATCGATAAACATATTTGTAATAGGCATAAAACGTAATAGTTCATAAAAACTAGTTGTTGATCTTTCATTTGCTATGTCGGATATAATTTCTTTTAGTTCATTAAGTTGTTTTTCAAGTAAATCATTTTTATAGATAATATCTCTTAGTGTTTTCATATTTTCACAATCAAATCTTTCTAAAAGAAAATAATTTAATTAGAAAACAAAAATTTCTTTTTTCATACCGGGAAAAAAATATTCGATAAATTTATTTAAATGTTTATAAACAATTTGTTTTCTTTCATTAATCATATCGTTTAATGTTTGATATTGAATATATTTTGTACTACCAAATGAATAATCAGTAAAATTTTCTTCTTGTCTTATATCAACAAAAAATATTCGATTATCAAAATAATCAAGTATAGTATTAAATTTCGGATTACATCGAAATTCATCTAATAAACGTTGACGTTCAGGAGAATTTAATGTATTGACTTCATCGATATCAGGACGAGTATAGAACGTTATTAATAAACATGAATTATTATAAGCTTTTTTCGTTAATACTGTTTCTAATAATAATAAGTCGAAATAAAATTTAATATAACAGAAAATTTTATTTACCGTAAATTTCTGAAAATAGATTTTGTTCATCTGATGTAAATACATCCATACGAATACAATAGAAAACTAGAATAAGTCGTGAGTTAGATTAAGATTTTAATGGAGAAAATAATCATATACTTATATCAAAACCATTTCGAATTTCTTTGAGAAAAAGAATAACTTTAAGTTTATGTTCATTTTCATTTTCTGTATCACGAAAACCAATTGTATCAATAAATGTTGTATCATGAGATGATTTAGTAAAAAAATTTTTTGTTGTTGATGATACAGAATTACCTAGACGTTGATTTGAATTAGAAAGTAAATTAAATAAACTTGTTTTGCCTAATGAAATATAACAAAAAAATTAGTTTTAGTCAATAGATATGAGAATTAACTAACCGGAACCAGTTCGACCTAAGAAAATAACAACTTTATTATCATTCGATATATTTTCATCACTATTAATTACAGATTGATCATCAGTCATGACTATTTGTTTTTCTTCGTTTAAATAAATAAATCTATGACTATTACTTTAGGGTATATTCGAAATGATTCGCTTAGTATTACTTCTAATCCTCTTTCGTTTCCATCGATAATGAAAGATATCTATATGATTATGATTCGTTCGTTCTATTCGACCCTATTACATCGATTTATTCCTTTTCCAAAGAGAATATTTAGATTAATTTTTATGAAGATTAGTCTTTTTTTATTACTACATTAATTATTAAGTATAGAAGAGTATATACAAATTTTCTAGCATGATAAGACTTTCCTTTTTTTTTATAAATTGTAATTAAATAATATTTTACGAATTTTTATAATAGGTCACTTATTATTAATCGAAATTTATATTAAAAGAAACACTCATTTTGACAGTTAAAAAAATTCTTTCTTTGCTTTATTTTTTACTTAATAGGTCATCTACGTCAGACAACGGTAAAATATTAGTACTTCTAAAGATTAAGAACAAAAATCCGCTTAAATAAAATTTACAGTCTAAGTGATCAGTGTGAAAACGTCATAAGTATAATATTTATCTATTTTAAGAAGACTAGTGTAAGAAGTTCACAACTCTATCTTGTCTTTCTGCTAATGAATTCTTTAGATGTAGAATACTTACTTCTTATAAAAAATAGTAAGTTGACGACGTTTTAGAAATACAAACATCTGTTTTAATATTAATAAACATGTCTATGATCGTACTATCTGAGCAAAAATAAGAAGTTTTACTCAACGAGTACATATAAAAAAAATTTGCTTACATGATTTTCTCGGAGTTTGTTACTAAAGAAAAAAAACTACTTTTGTAATTAATTCTACTTTACGGGCAAATTCTCTATGTAATATCCTGTCAGTGGGTGGTTAATATATAACAAATTATTTCCCCCCATTGTAATGTTGAAGTTAATTCACTATAGTTGGTTACCCATAGATAAAAATATCTCAAAGAATACATAACTCGCACTTTAATAGCAATTTTAATAGATAATAAACGCTTTTATTATAAAATAGATTTCCCTTTTAATATAAAATTTATTCTTTCTTTTTATATTTTAGTTTTTTTAAAAACTATAGCATATCATAATACTTAATATATAATAATTATCCGAATAATGTATCGTTTAACAATCATACTTGTTTTTCTATGTATTTTATTTATGCAATTTAATCAACAACAAGCTGCTAGAATCCACCTTCCATCTGTAGACGATAATGAAGATCGATCAAACCCATTACCATCATCTTTACTTGAATCATGGTATAATAATCGATTAAATGATATACAAGAAAGTGAACAACAAGAAGATAGCGATCATTTTTGGAAACGTTTTTCACCAGAATTAGCATCACTTCGACAAAGACGACGATTTGGTAATACTCGTTATGGTCGAAGTTTATCTAAGAACTGAGAATGAAAAACACTTTCGATATTCATACTATTTTCTGTATTACATTTCATGTAATTTCATTATCATAACTATAAAAGAAAATAACAATGAAAATATGTTTATATTTAACGATCCTAACTATATATTGAGCAATGCCAGACGCATCCACTTGTCATTGACATGTCGATTTGTCTATCTATTTATCTATTGATAAGATGTATACAAAAAGATTGATTTTTATAGTTTATTGAAGGTATAAGAGAAAGAAAAAAAGAAAAGATATCATCAAGGGCTCTCACTACTTGATGATAGGTTCAATCAGTAGTAGCACATCGATCTTACATACTAATATGTCTAATTGCTGAAAATCAAATAGAAGAAAGAAAAGAAGGTTGAACATCTAATTTGACATCTGATAATCATTTTGCTAACTCTTAGGAAAAAAAATTGAATAAACTTGGCATCATTATTATCAGATTTAAATTATAATCGATAAAAAAACACAGGAAAAGTCTGTATTTGAACAGCCGTTTGACGGCATACACTTAACCATCATTGTGATGTATTTATTATCTTGCCCGGAAAACAACACATTAATGTACAATTGACAAGAGAGAATAAGATAGTCGATGTTTTATTACAAGATAAATATAAAGTCAAGTTCAAGAATGTTGACCTTCTTTATTCATTGGTTTTTTTTTATAGTTTTGACAACTTTCTTTCTTATTTATATCTATTTTTTGTTCTCACATGTTCGATGTATAAATGAGCATCAACAAGAATGACGTGTGTCTGGACAATGTTCTGTTGATTTATTTAAACAATACAATGAGTAAAAGACGAGATTTATGCATATCGTTGATTAATTCTAATCACGATCTTTTTGTCTATCGCGATAGCTAACGACTAAAAGTAAGAAAAAGAAAAAAA